AAAAGGAGAGAGAATTGTACATTCACTTTTAACAATTAATTTTATGAAAATGTGGTTTTGCCGTTAGTTCGAATGCGCATCACTTAGAGTAGCATATTTCATTTGTATGTTGGGATAGTGGTCCCACATTTTGCTGCAATGAATTAGCATGAATGTGGTAGAACAATATGCATAATACACTCTGCTTATATTTTCAAAGAAATACTTAAGATGGGAATTTCCTATACCAACCAGAATGTATTGAATAGTACATACTCTTATTTTCAAGGACCAAATTTATAATAGAATTTCTAATCTTTAAGTATTAAAAACTCATAATTTCTTTACTCCATAATCTATGTCTTAATTTTCTCCTTATTTACAATTTGTCATAATATTTCTATTATTCTATGCATACGTATTTGCATATTACATACAAAAATAGATAACAGAACTCAAATTTGCAATCGAATTCATTTGAAACCAGCGCTCTTGCAACCATTCAAAGAATTTGAAAGTGAAAGGAATGCTGAAAGGGTAGCAGCGAGCTGTTACGAACAAGAACACAAAGCGTGCCACCGAACAACGAGTTGTGCACGTCCCATGGCACGGTCCCTTCGTCTTTCCTCGTCGTCCCCTCGCCTACAATAAACTGGTATAAGACTCTATTGAGTCCCTGTGTGAAACGGCACACACAACGCACAACCGGAGTTTGTTTGTCGATATGTAGGGGTGTGTGTGTATATACAACATAGCCACAAAATACTATCTACGAGATACTTATGCCAGTATTTTGGCGATTGCATCGGAATTTCTACAAATCTACGCACATAAGTCCACGAACATGTTGGTGTCGAGCAGCGAACTTGTATTAACACGTGTTTGTCCAACATGCTCGGTTGCCATTAAATATTTCCCAGTATTTGCCGGTATTTATTAGTGCGCTGAGGTCATACGCCAATGCATGCTAACCGGCAAACACACCCGTTTAAATATGCTTGCCTCAAAATTCACATTTTTTATTGTTGCTTTAATTTCATTTGTTTTGGTATTCCTTCTTGCGCGCTTGGCAAACCTTGTTTAAAATCAGGTTATTTAACTTTTATTCTCGAATTTCAAGGCGGCATTGGAAATAACAGTGCAAAGCTAAGCTGAGCAGCATAAGCAGTATGACTAGTTGCAGAGCTGCTCTTATGTAAGAGCTGCTATGGAAATGCAGACATAAATATGTATGTGTGCATAGTTATCTATAATACATACATACATATGCGGCAATCGAAATCACTCTCAATTTGTACACCCACTTCTTTTTTATTCCAAATCATACAAACAAAAAACACCTTTTTAGTAATTTTTGTTGTTTATTTTTTTTTTTGAATCGACATGTTATTTAAGAAATAAATAAATAAAGGGAACTTTTACAGAAAAATTTTGCACACTTAAGTTCACGTAGCTGATCTCTTGGAGAACCTTCGAAAAAAAGGTGTCTGGCGGTGAGAAAAATTTTTCTTCTTAAAATTAATTAACAATTAAAATTAAAAAATTATATTATCATTATAGATGAATACAGATTATAATCAAAGGACTAGTCAAAATTTAGATTATTGACAATATCCCAAAAACGTCGTTTTATATTATATTATCACATTTATCTTGTAAATTGACCTGAAAAATTCGGAATTATTATTAAACATTTAGTTCCTTAGATCATTACCTGTTAAATATATCAAAGAAGGTCATGTGAAAATTTCAAGTCGACTGGTTTTGAAGAAATTTTGCTCAACGACTCTGAAAGCAACGTTTCAAGAAAAACGCTTCCAAACTATTTATTGAATCGACTTCAATTTTCGGATTGTATTCTCAAATATAAGTAAGTAAGTACTTTTGATAAATATGCAAAAAAAGTGGATTTTTTGAAAATCACAAGTGAATATAACCCCGTAAAGGTATAAAAACGAAGGACAGCAACAAATGTTAGCGTAGGCAGAAGATAATTAATATACGATGTAACACATACGCACAAATATATATAAATACCGTTATTTTACTAGCAAACTGATTTTCGGATCAGATTTAGCCGAGTTCCAAATAACGTGTTTATCACTTCCAATCGCCAAGTGAGGCTGAGTTCCTTCTCATATCTGACCAACTGCAGAAGTGACATAATCTCGGTAGAGTCGTCATTGTACTTTCTTCACTACTTTAAAGTGGTATCTCCACAACGCTTGTAAAATATACTTACATATAGTTCTCGGAGTCATTTGTTGTTGTTTTTAAAGCCCTTAAGAGATTAGAGGGTGGTAAGATCCATCTAACTTAATTCATAATCGAGTGGGAAATCTCACTTTCATTATCGTCTAATGAANCTCGTTACTCGGACATTTTTATTTACGATGGTTTGTGCAAGTGTCTGATTTATTCACCGACAATGACGTTTTTCGCGGTCCTGTGCAGCTAGGTAAATTTTGGTGGTACCCCGAGCTTAAATCTAGGGTTGTGCAAAACTTTTCCTGTCCTAGATTCATTGGAATGCTCGGCATTTTTTAGCTTCTTTACGGGTATAATGTAATTCTATGCCGCCCCTGTATCGATTAATATTTTTAAAATTCTCCCATCCAAGTGTCGTTTGATGTACGGCGGTCGGGATTGTTCCCTAAAAAATGCAGTGATTCATTGTCACACAGCGACTCAGTGTTTTCTTCAATTTCAATTGCAGCAGCCTTTGCTGCTGTTGACTTCACTTATTTTTTCACCTTGGGTGCGGTGTTATACTCACTTTTACTATTGCACTACTTTTAGTGAAAAACTCTTTAATTAATTTTTTTAAACGTTAGTATTATATAATATATTTTTTGATAATACTTTATAATATAAAAAGTTCACTTTCTTATATTTGTGGTTTTAAATAATTTATAATACACTTCCCATTTATAATTTCACTTTTATTTTATGCGACGAAAATCACTCTGCGGGAATGTTTTAATGTAGAACCTTATAGGTCATGGATGAAATCGAAAAGAGTGCCCATTCCGATCTGACTGGTCCCTTTTCAACATTCGGGTGGTGGAAAAAACGGTAGTTGCAGTGTGGGTGTATAGTGTGGTTGATTAATTGTATATGGTTGAGTTGGTGAGTGATATGGTGTGTTGTAGGTAGTGTATGATGTTGCATTGTGTTATGTTGTATGGTATGATGTTGTACGGTGGTTGTGAGCTTAGTTGTAAAAATGTCGCGGGATTGGAAGTCGCAGGAACATCCCGGCCACCCTAGGCGAATTAATTGCCTAGAAGTCTTTGCAACTGTTGCAGAGTGCTCACTACGGCGTTCTATCCGGTTGACCTTTGCCGCTGGTTGCGATGACCATAGGGTGATGGAGCTGGCCGTGAGCGTGCCCCTCTGGATGGCTTCGGGCGATGTACTCTTTGGCGCTGGACGGGATTCCCTTGTTGTCTGTGCCGGTGACTGGTCTGTGTTGTGGACTGATTTGCTCGTCGAGGGAATCGATGGAACAAAGTATGATGCGGCCGTTGGCAATATTGACACGATCCGTCGGTCATACAGTCAAAGGTGGAGTGACTATCTGCCAAGCAAGTCATACAGTGTCCGTGGGCTCTGGCGATCTGTTGGCGTTGAGCGGGCTTCATGCTCTTGAAGATAGTGCACCTCTTCAGGACGTGAGGTCGACGGCATAGACTGCATCGTGGAGGCGGATGGTCATCAAACTGCTTCTCGTTTGCATCTCTGGCTGCTGCTGCAGATGATTGGCTGTGCGGAGCCGTGGCGCTTTGAATCCTTGGTGCTGCGATGGGTGGACCAGATGCTCTAGGCGCAGCAATTACGGACCTCACAGTCGTGAGAGCGCTGTGGATATCTCCTACGTCCATTTCTATCGGAATAGGAATATATTAAAGTATGGTTTGGCTCATAATTTTGAATTATGATGTATGTTGCTTGGTTTGAAAAATAGATATATATAATATATATATATACATATGTATATGTAACTATATATGTTGTGTTTAATTTTTAATCGCGTTTGTTAGTGTTAGATTTACATGTACGGATTATAAAACGGTAGTATTTCGAGTTAATCGAATTAATTGTCGGTTTTGATTTTATTTATGCGCTTGTCTTGGCGGGGTTTGTATAATCGGTTCTTCGGTGTTCGGAAGAAAACACAATTTTACTAATGGTCGAGTTAGTATACCAGTTTGTGTTCGTACGTGTACTATTCTTATGTGACCATCTCGTCCCCGATGGACCTTTTCAATGCGGCCTAGTCGCCATTTTGTTGGAGGAAGGCATTCATCATGTATGATGACGCATTCGCCCGTATTTGGTTCCTTCTGGATCGTTTTCCACCGATGTCTCTTATGGAGATCTTTAAGGTAATGAATTCATGATGAAGTATCTTAATTCTTTCCCATCGGTCTATTAAATTGAGTGAGTCTCCTTCTGCCTCAGGTATGGCGAGAAGTGGAGCTCCTCTGAGGAAATGTCCAGGTGTAAGAGCTGTGAAATAGGAGGGATATTGCGAGAGTGGTGAGATGGGTCTTGAATTTAGTACGGCTTCTATACGAGCGAGTAGTGTGGTAAATTCCTTATTATTGAATTTATGATTACCTCTGCCGTTTTCTTATCAGGTAGTGTCGCTGCGCAAATATTTATTAGGATAGGGTCCCACGATTCTGTGGATACATTTTGTGTTTCTAACACAGATAAGCAATTAGTCACTGTCGAGTATAGTTTTTGAAATTCTTGGCTGGTTTCTTGTTGAATTTTTGGTAAATTCATTAATATAGTTATTTGGTT